CTCTCTCTCTCCCTCTCTCTCTTGACCCCCAAACACGCTCCGAACATTCCTAACTTGCTCCAGAACGGTTGGCCGGTGTTTTGCCGGACTTAGGGCTAAAAAGCTGCCAACAATATTAATTATAACAGCTGTACCCGTCAAATGTTTAAAGTTGAAACTTTTGATCCTACACCACCTAGAGCTTTCAACCAGTCACTCTAGTCTTCCTCAGTAGACTGACCCAGTGTAAGTTGGTTTCTCTGATGTGTGACGTCAACCTGTCGAATCAAAGCTCTAGGTGAGAGACCTTTACTATGCTGTACAAAAAGTTTTATATTAAAAACTTTAACCACAAACACAGATGTATTTTTATGACAGTTCCCGTAAAAAATTTACAGACAACGAGACTTTGGCGGAAGTGTTGTCGCTGAAAGACGAGATGGCAAATCTGACCAATCAGGAGGCCGGAAGGACTCACGTGTTCCTTGAGGGGAGGAGGGAAGTCTGTAGGCGGGTACGAGTAGTATACTATTTTTACTTTTTAATTGATTTTTACAAAAATAATGCAATTTTTACCAAAAAAAAAGGTATACGGGCACCCCTTTGGCCAATGGATACTGCCTTGTCACCGTATGACCTGCTGGAAGACTAGTAGACGAGACCTGACGGGCGTATGGCGTAGAGAATTGTATTAAAATTCATCTTTCTATTAATTATGCGCTTTGGTCATCCTGTATTAAAAAAAACCTATCTCAAATTACATTTTTAACATCACAAAGAAACGAGAAGAAGTCGAACCTCTGTAGTGTAGTTTAACAGCTTCATGTACTACTAACATGTATATAGTACCTTTTCATCTGTTTACCTGTACGTCGCCCCATAGGGCATGAATGTACAATAGATGTTATTATTACTGTTGTTTGTTTATTTGTAGTTGTTTATTTGTTTATTTGTTTATCTATTTTGTTTACAGCGAGAGTGTAACCTTGGGAACGTGATCACGGACGCCATGGTGCGCCAGAACCTGAAGAACCCGGATGAAGCGAAGTGGGCTGACGTCAGCATGGCCGTGTGGAATGCTGGGGGTATCAGGGCGCCTATCCCCTTCAGACCTCCGGACGGTAAGGCTCTTGTTGTGGCAAATTAGCTATCAACTGCCGTAATCCGAGCAAAATGGCACGGGAATACATAAAAATGTCCATTTCAAATGATGGAACACTTTGCCTGATGGCGTTAAATGCGCTAGTGAGTGTAGGTTTCGGCAGGAGCTCGTGATGTATATCAACGAGTCTAATTGATTAACCGTGATGTAAATACTAGATGTTAGCCTTTATGTAGTTTGTATGTCCTTGTTCTATGTTTTTACGGTCCAGGAAGATTAGCTGTGTATTCGTGTATTTGTGTACGACAGCTAATGGACTGAATAAAGTATCCAAGTATCCAAATGACCAGCAACTTTTAAAACACGATTCACGTCAGTGGTCAGTGTTCTGACGATGTTTCAAAAGAACAAGACACGAGTTTTGCTTGGACAGTCCTCTGGCGCACGAACAAAATACACTTAGTCAAGCCAAACTTCTGAGCGGGTGCAGGACACAGTCTGTAGGACACAGCCTGTGTTGTGTCCCGAACCATGCTCTGGCGTTAGAGTTAGGGTTTCCATGGCCAGAGGACGTCATTCATAAAATTACTTCCTGTGACATTACTTTTGCCAAGAAGGTTATGTTTTCGTTGGCTTTCGTGTGTCTAGCGTGTTATGTGATAGCCCGAGAAGGCTAAGATAGACTGTCTTCATATTTGGTAGGTGGATAGGTCTTAATGAGACCTCGAAATTATTAAGTTCTTGGGCTCCCTGGTGACTTATTAGGAGATGGGATTTTCGTTTATTTACTAGTATTTGAAATTGTACTTAAATTTGGTAAAGCATAACATAAGTTCAATTACTTCCTGAATTCCTCAATGGATAGCAAGATTACTTTACAATGAAAAAAAAAAGATGAAAGAAATAAAATTACCCACTCTGTGCCATTGTGTCTTCACAGGTATCATCAGCACCGCTGACGTGCTGACGGTTCTGCCGTTTCAAAACACCATCGACATCATCGTCATTTCCGGCGACATCCTGTTTGAGATGTTCGAACATTCCGTGTCATCCATGCCGAGTGCCGGCCGGTTCCTACAAGTCTCAGGTAGCGTGATGTTACTTGCACATTCATGTTACACCTAGGGAAAATGTTTGTGTTTCCTGTTTCAGTCCTGAAAAATATAACATCGGTAGGTAGAGATTATCTTTTTTTCTTTCTATTTTTTCAGACTTCGGTGATATCTATATAGTGCTCCAACTATACAATACAGTTTAACTGTTAAACTTGCATTAGACATTTATTTTCAATGTTAATGTTAGAAAAGTAATAATAGAATGATAAATGCTGCGATTTTTTCTCCCGTCTTGTCAAGGAATCCTTGTTGTTTTTCTACATGGGAAGTCTAACTTAGTGAAGTGACCACAAGTTCACATTTAGGAACCGGGTCTGAAATAACACTTAGTAGGACACAAGCCAAGTGCCTACGATTTGTTTCCAAAACATTTGATAAATACTAAAGGAATAATACAAGTGTTAAATACTGCCAATTCTCTTGTCCCATCTTGTTCAGGAATCCTGGTGACGTACGATATCAGCCAGCCTGTGGGACAACGCGTGGCGAGGCTGGAGGCCCGATGCTCCGAGTGCGCCATACCGCAGTACGAGCCCGTGGAGAGGGGGCGGCGATACAAGCTGTTGATAAACGCGTTCATGGTCGGCGGGGGCGACGGCTACAGCATGCTCGCTGAGAACATACCGGACTCAGATCGGGAACAAATCGGTAAGGCCAAAGCTATTTTTATGTTTACCGAAGGAAACATATTGTTTTTACTCCATTTCTTCTTCCTCTTCTTCTTCTTCTGTTCCAAACACTAACCTTTGACCTGGCCAATGGCCTCTTTTGTTGGCGTCTGTCACCATGGTAACTGGTGTTGGGTTACATAATGTGGCAATTTCATAGTAGGCATTTAGACTCCTGTCACCATACACATGTATGTGAATGTGTTTGAGTAAGAATTAACAGAGCAGACCATATCCGAAGGTAAACATTATGCATTTGCTTTGCAAATGTTACTTTTCTAGTTATTTTTTATTTCACAAAACCAACTAATCATGCAGAATGTGGGACTATTCATTATCCACTGCCTTCAAAGAAGAAGTCGAACCCCATAATAGCTAGCGTAGTAGTAGAAGTAGAAGTTTTTCCAGACAGTTCTTATCTGTCTCCTGTTACTGTATTGCAATGAGTATTATACTTGATTGTAAAAGAAATTAGCCTTCGAGCATGATTTTGCAAATAAAGTTTCTTTATTTTGTCAGGAAGTCTATGCCGTCCTCCGCCACAGCTTCATTTTCAAATCAAATCATTTATTTAAAATCTTTATCCAAAAAAAAACTTTGCACATTAAACTTGCATATTATAGGTATCATTTCTTGTTTAACAAGGTTTATGTCGTCAAAATTTGAAAATGTAGGAATGTTTTTTTTGGCCCGACTAGTTTTTTTCGCCATATCGCATTAGATTTGGAGTCTGCGAAGGATGTCATCCATAAAATTATACTTGCTGTGGCCTTTAGTTAAAATTACTATATATAGTAGATAGTATATACCGCCCTCCGTCTCATTTGTTGGAATAAAAAACACAGTGAATGAATTCGAATACATTGCAGAAATGTCCTACCTGGCACAAAATTCTGTAGTATGCACTCAGTTGATGTACACATTTGATAATTTCTTAATGTTACAATGCGGATTTTAAAATGTCGTTCATTTTTACTACAGGATATCTCGACTCGGAAATGCTGTTAGACTACCTGAAAGATGCAAGCCCCATCACCACGGGACTGGAGAGACGCATAACGATTTTGAATGGTACTGCACCCTACCCAACGTCCAACCCCGAGCCCAGCACTTCGCTTGGCCCCGCATCAAATGCCCCACCCCACTCCACACCACTCCCTGTGTTGTTGTTGTGTTCGATACTTGCAGTATTCCCTGCCTTATTGTGTCCATAGAATTAGAGTATTGTTTTGCGTGTGTGTATTTCCGTGTGTGTATATTGTGTCCCACAAAATACTCAAGAATGCCTTGTTGGATTGAGATGCTATTTGGTATGTGCGTCGGTGAAGGTTACACATCCAGGTAATACGATACGCCAAAAAGTTTAAAAGCAGTTACTCAAGCAACTGGATATGATTTTGGAAACGGTACACAAAACTAGTTGTGCTTATAAACCTGCTGAAACGTCTGACCGTTTCCAAAATCATATCAAGTTGCTTGACTAACTGTTTTTTTGGCGTATTTGGTATGTGAGTATGTGTTATGAGATAGAAGAAGTCCAATGTCGAGGAGAATTTTGGTGATTGTGTTGGTTTTATCCATGGTACTGCAACGAAGCTTTCGGTCTTTGTAACTTTCGTGCTGAACATGATGTTGTCTTAATGTTGGTTGGCAGCCTTTCCTGTTAGGGAAAATGGTGTAAATTTGGGCCCTTTAGCAGCTTGTTTTTGAAATACAGAGGTATTTAAATACAGATAAAAATCATGTCACCAACTGATTTTCACAATTTTATTACCTATAGGTATCTCAGAGAAGTAGTCAAATACACAATTAATAAGGGAATGCTACCATTTTGTGTTTTGCATGATAGGACTTCAATATATATAACATACGTAATCTATGGCAGGGGGAATATCAACAGATACTAATAATGGAAATAGGGGCCTAACACGCTTTTAAACTAGTACAGGATTTTGGTGTAAGTTAGGGATGAATGTTAGTTTGTATGGTTTAAATAAATATACATAGTGATAAAAAGTTATGATAGAATTCTGGATAAGACTTCTAGTAATTCTGAAATATATGTAATTTGAGTAGAGAAGATCATGACTTTAAATCGATAATGAAAATTATAACTTTATTTTCATAATTAATGAGACAAAAGTAAACCACAGAATATAGAAAAATATTTTACGGATGAATGAGTTACCCTAAATGTTTCGATAGTTGTAAAAACAGACGCTACAATATTATCAAGTATAGTTTGGATGTAAATATTTGTCAACATAGAATTTTAAATGTTTCTTTTTGACGACATTCTTCGCATTGCTCATGATATCAAATTTTAAAATGTGTGTCTTTCAATTAATTTGTGCAATAAGAATGTAGAGGAGGCAAATTAGAGCTTTTGATTATAAGAATCAGTTATAATAAAATGCTTTTGTTGCAGTGGTATTTCGTTCGATTGTGTTTCATAGTTCATTCTGGAAAGTTACTAATCCGTTAGTCTACCACGTTTTTACGATTGAATAATTTTTTCAAATAAATAAAGAAATGAGATGAATAATAAGGTCTCCGTGTGCCTAACTCATAATAACTATGCAATACATAGATACACTACACAAGCTTAATAGTTTTTTTTTATATATTAAAACATCAAAAACATTAAGAAAAACATAGAAGATGGCATCGAACTGAAGTTCCATGGACCTTATATTAACGGCGCCATCTACACAAAATGATTAAACAGAGATATGGTAATTACATGGACAAATAAATAAGTATACAAAATCGAAACAAGCTAATTGAGGTTTTAAATTAGTAAATGAAATTCAACGCAAATCCCAACCCCTATCCCTGATAGGACAAGAGTAGTATCGCCATATGCTTCGACAATTTTGGTGAATCAGAATCATGTTTGGGGTATTTACAGATCAGTTTTCAGATCGTGTTGAATTTATACATGTTCTAAAGTCATGTTAATCCTCCTTCCTTCTGTCTTTTTTCTCACGGAAAGCGAGTGATAAAAACTGTTGCTTGAATAGTTTATTATCAAGAGACTGTCGTGTTCTAATTCTATGCATCAATTTGTTTGAAAATTAAGATTTGCTTTTGCCCGAGAAATATTAAAAGGGCCTGCATGCCCTTTTAAGCAATGCGTAATCAGGCCCTTTTTAGTCTTTGTAATCCGTAGGCCGCCTCCCCAAAAATCAACGTAATAGTACATTAGCCTCAAAGCGTAAAGTCGTAATCAGCTCTGAGACTTTAACGTAATTCGCAATTGGCGGAGAAAATTGTGCGTAGTTCGAAATCACTACCCCCCCCCCTCCAATACAGGCCCTTACCATTGTGAACCAAATGCGTATTTTCATCCTGGTGTTTACCTTTGCCAACGCAGAAGGAAAGCATTACTTTGTTCAGTTTCTTCTTCTTCTTCCTCCTCTTCTTCTTATCCAGGCAAATAAAGTCAATGACCTGCACCAGACGTATGTCACCATGTTAGCTGGTGCTGTAGCAGACACCCTGTGGCGCCGGATTGCTTAAACGTATTAAATGTATTATATTACCAACCATACAACAATTCACTTGGTGAATTTTTCTGTTTTTCATGACTTTTTTTTACAAGCTTCATGCAGAGAGGTACGTGATTAGCCGTCCATTAGGACTTGCAGTCATCGAACGCTTTTGAAACATCGACAATCGACATCTTCCATTAGGACTTGCAGTCATCGAACGCTTTTGAAACATCGACAATCGACATCTTCCTGAGAAAAGATATCAATCAATCAATCAATCAAATGGTTTATTTTCAACCGACTTCGGAGCACCAGGCTGAATTTCGCCAATTGTAACATTCATTTAAAAACATTATACATTATAAAATCGTTAATGGTACATGAAAAAGAGCGTCTTACTTTAAAAACGTGAGGTGTACAAGTACAATAATGAAGACGTGACATAAAAGGCAACGTTTGTCAACAGTGTGCTTGGGTTTCATTTAGTATTTAATATTCTATTCATTGACGGTACTGCACTATTACTGTATCAAGTGGTACGAGAGATCGGCAAGGTCAGTGCTTTTGCCTTTCGTAGATTGCGCCCATGCGTCTCTGCGCGGGTGACATCGACTGGCAATTTTCTGTGGGTGCATCCTCATGAGATAATCTGCCTCACACTCACTCTTGTCTGCCGTTCCCTGGTATTACCTACATTAGTGGGACGTAGAAAGACACACACAATTGATGGCCTCCCGAGCTCCATCATTTCCTTTCCACCGACTGAGTTACCCTGCCGGATTTTCCCAAATCCTATCTGACATCCTTTATTGTAGCTTACATAACGATGTTATCTCTGTAATGTGTGCGGCCGCAGAATAAAGCTAACGTTAGCCAATATCCGTAATTTCCCCCCGGGCAAGTCGCAAACAGGCTGACCTGCTTCTGTCGGCAGCAAATCATGGATCACCCTAAGACTCGAAATTAGGTTTTCCTATTGTACAAGCATTGTCAAATAATTATGCTGATTTTAAAAAGTTGAAAGCTTGTAAATATATACGTCTATGATGTTGAAAACTTGATAAAATTCTTCAGGTAAATTAGTTTTTTTTTTTTCGGTCTCTGTAAACTGCGATAAACCAATAAAGTCTATTGTATCATATCGTATTGTGTCTCCTCGAAAATTAATGTGTTTCAAGTGAGCATGCACTGTCCCAACCTGTTTTTGGGGGAAGTATGTATGACTTGAACTTTATTTTCCTTACCTCCTGAATCCCAGGAAAGTTATAATTGCAGAGTAGACAAGAAATTAACTTTAACCTTTGCCAAGAAGCTTGTGTTTTCGTGGGCGTTCGTCTGAGTGTCTGTAAACTTGATAACTCGAGAAGGCTTAAATGGATTGAAATGATAGATTGGCTTTCTTTGTTTGTTGAAATAAGGCTGTCTTTTGGCGGAGAATATGATCAACTGATGCACTATTTGCATAATCAGGAGGAATAATCTTTACTTTGTCAGTCATAAAGATTAACACCATTTGGCGAAGGTATGAGGTCATGAAACTCGTATTGTCCCAGCATTGGCTCGAAAATAAATTTGTGCCAAAGTGAGCATGTACTGTCCCAGCCTGTTTTTTTTGGAAAGTATGTTTGACTTAAACTTTATTTTGCTTATGTTCGGACTACCAGGAAAGTTATAATTGCAGGGTAGACAAGAAATTTGGGCGGCTTTTCTGGAGCCAAAAGCCGGCACGAATACCTATCAACAAAAGAAGGGCTGGCATTCTGATGTTTTTTTTTTCTATTGTCTCAAAAATGTCCTAAAGTGTCTTTTTAGTTGTCCCGGCCTATACAGTAATTCCTGATTTTTTCACTGTACTTTTATGTTTACTGTTTTCAATGTTACTTTTGTACAGTGAACTTATCAATACAGTTAACAAATAATTCCTGGACTTTCTTTTTCCTGCACCTAGCACCACAGTGAACATATAGTTCCAGAAACATGTCCATTTTTTCCAGACTGTGACATTTTGCTACCGTAAACATAAACTGAATTAAAGTAATTTAGTGCTCAGTGGCCATCAGGACACCGTTAACTTCGAGCCCTGCACCCGTCCTCCTAAATCACGCGGGCTCGTTTCCACCCCATCCAAAACCCACAACACATTAAGGGAGGAAATTACGGGAAATGTAGTCTCGTTATCACTGGATCTCGTCTGTCTCTGAGTGTGTCTTCCGTGTAACTCGTCATGCAGAGGTTGATTGGGAAGATGGCTTGGATACTGTATTCAGTCCATTAGCTGTCTCGTGCACAAATACATGAATACGCAGCTAATCTTCCTGGACCGTAAAACATAGAACAAGGACATACAAACTACATAAAGGCTAACATCTAGTATTTGCAATTACATCATAGTTAATTAATCCATTAGACTCGTTGATATACATCATGATCTCCTGCCGAAACCTACACTTACTAGCGCATTTAATTCCTTTTAACTTTTAATAAACCTACTCTAAGTAATCTCACAGCCGCATATATACATACAATCACTACTAAGCGAGATGAAGCCGAAAAGAATAGAAATTATACATTTATTTACACTCTTATATGTTCATATGTTCATATGTATATGTAAATGTTCATATTCTGTACCCACGCAACCTGTACTTAGTTCTGTAGAACACAAATGTACAATAAAGGTCTTCATTCATACATTCATTCATTTAACTCCATCAGGCAAAGTGTTCCATGTAAAGACACACCTACATGTATACATAAAAGATGGCGACCTTCTTCCGTGCACCGTTTTCTGACAGCAGGCCCGATCTTTCAGTGGATTACGTGATGGTATCTACCCTATTGGATTCTGCTTTTCCGGTTGGTTAACCTCACGACTTTGCCACCAGAAGATCTGCTTGGAGATTATCCCAAGTCTCCTCGTTGTCTTGCTAGAGGAAAAAAAACACAACAAGCAAATCATAATCCATCACTGGTTAGGCCATTTTAGCGAATTAACCGTTTGTTAGCAAGTTGAATATGGTGTGTCTTTTAGAATTATATCATGGCAAAATACTAGTAAACGTTTTACAGAATACCCAGGAAAGCCATTTAACAATATTTATCGGATCTCTTTGGACGAATTTGGGTAGCCTGCAATTAACCTGACAAACTTGTTTAAGTGTATCATTTCTAGTTAAATTCATTGTCATCTGACACGTATGTCCATTCAACACTTAACACCATACGCAACAATGCTTTTAGCCCAATCTGTCCAATCTACGTATAGAATTGGCCAGTCTGTATGTATTTCCACACCGAAAGGTGGCGAATTTGATATTACCTTCCCACCACAGAAAGATCTCATTGGAGATTACAGGAGGGTGCCTTTTACAATAGAGAGGGGGTGGAGGTAAATTGCAATCGGATCAAGATGGATTCTATACGTAGATTCTCCCCACCGAAAGATCTGCTTGGAGATTGCCCTCCCGCCCTTGCTCACGATTGAAGCCGGCAAAATAGATAGTGGATACAAAAATTCAGAGTTTTATTTGGTTACTATGAACTACCCACCCAGTTTAATGCAAAGTGGCATAAATGAAACGAAGGCGTTTGACAAGTTTGATGCAGGTAATTAGCGATCCATTAGGACGTGCCGTCATCGAACTTTTAGACTTTAGGAACAGACAATCGACATCTTCCTGGACTGGATGGCACAAAATGGCAATTTCTGTGGGTGCATTCTCGTGAGATAGTCTCGCTAAATTGATTGCAATTTGCCTCCACCTCCTCTCTATAGCAAAAACATCCTCCCGCCCTTGGTCAGACTCACGATTGCAGCCGGCAAAATAGATAGTCGATACAAACATTCATAACCTCCGAGATTTATTGCTCGATCGATAAGATCGCTGTCGCGGCAAATAACTCACCATGTGAGAAATCAAAGTGACATCTCTGGCCAGGTTGGTACATAACCGGGGGTCAGTGGGTGACATTTTGTCTGCCAAATTGCTCCTG